AGCATTGTAGCTGGGATGATGGGGTCAGATGCAGCCACAGCCTTATGTTGCCGAGGCCTGATCAGATAACCTGATACCTGGTTTCTAAGGTATCTCAGGTACACACATTGGAAAACCCTCTACCTGTGTCCTGTAGGAGCCACCACCAGGAAGAGTGTTGGTAGCACTGCAGTGTAACAGTCTAACTCATTATATCAACAGTCATTTAACATTTTTGAATGTCCACATACTTCCCAGTAACTCAAGAACTTAGAGCTTGTTTGCTTAGAAACAAGTCTAGTAAAAGGGACATGATAGAGGTATATAAGTCATCTGGCATCCAGGGTTGAATGACCTACCCCAGACTCACATTTTGCGTAATTGACACAGACAATCTAACCTTGTTAGCTCACAGGGAGGTAAACAGTGCCCCCAAATTTCAGCTGCCTGCTTTTTACAGTTCTCTTTCTATAAACCAAACCTGCCAAGGACAAAGCGAAGCCCCAAAATCTGCATAAGAGTAGGCCATTTCATTCCACTCTCTTCAAACCATGCACAATTTTTGATCCCTTTTGGCACCCGTATTCTGCCTCCTCCTACCACACTTTTCCCAAAGCTAAACAGTCACTGACATGGTTACCTTTCCTTACAGGGCAGTTCCTCAGCCCCTTGATCATCTTGGTTGCACTTTTCTGCATGTTTTCTAATTTGGCAACATAGGTCTCGAGATGCGGTGACTAGAGCTTTACCTACTATTCCAGGTGTGGTTGTATTGTAAATTTGTATGCAGGCTTTATCAGCATTGGCAGTTTATTTTTTATCCCTGTCCATGGAAAGGATTATTCTAAAAAAAAATTTCAGGGCCTGCAGAGAGGTAAGCAAGTATATAGTATGCCTCTGCTATACCGGCTCAATGGGTGGAGGGTTATGATGATATTTAAACTAGGAAACACAGAACATGAATGGGGGCAATGCCCATTAACTGAGCCAGTTTATCAAGTGATAATCAAAGCATGTCAAAATTAAAGGATCTGATCTTAATTTAGCTGTTATTAACAGATGCATGAGACCAACTTGGATCAAATTGATTTCTGTTGGTTTACTCTGCGTGTGGCTAAATCCAGCTCTAATCCAGTGTGTTTTTTGCATTAGTGGCTCCTTGGTCATTTTTTGGCAGTTTGAGCCACCAGTATATTTAATAAGCAACCAGGTAGTGTATTTGAATCCGTTTCCTACAAGATTGCCCTTTTGCATCAAGCATACCTTTTCATTATATTGACTGAACTTTTACCTTTATTGAAAGACGTTTGTGGCCTATGTGGCTTAGACATCGCTCCTATGTTGTAAGAACTGACATTTTTAAGAGTTGGTGACACACACACTCTTAGTAATAACTGCAGCTGGACTATATTCAACTCTGGTATACCTGGAAATCTTTGAATGACATTCTGTGATATATTACAATGATTACCTGCACAATCAGCCATTACAGCTACTTGGGAACAGGTTTTGCAGAACATTCTAATGAGTTCATCATGAATTTTTAAAATCCTTAAAATAGGTTTTGTGGTTTTACTTTCCCAGGAGTTATTTTCCTTAATGAAATAATATAATCCAATTTCAGCGTTAATTTGAACATATCAATAATAACCTAATAATATTATGGATTCATAAAACATCCCACAGGACTGCTGAGTAACTTCATCTCTATATTGCTCCAAAATAACTGAAATTGTCCCCCAACTTGAGCAGAGAAGAGATAGTTATAGAACCGCTTGTATTTCATTTGTTTGGAAGACTGGAATGCATTTAATGACAATGAGCGAAAGAAAGTGATCCAAGAATTCTAGGTCTTTATTTCTTTACTTGGTGTGCGGCCTTGTGAAATTGATAGCAGGTATTTGTAAAAGAGAAATAAAAGTATATTGTTCAGTAAACTGATTAACTTATAGTTCTGTACTTCACTTTTGGAAAATTAAGTACAGCATCAAGTATGATTTGATTGCCCTGCATAGGCATAGAAATAAAAGTCTTGTTTCAGTGTGATGATCAGCATGTGATCTTCCTTGTCACATTATAATTTAAACATTTCAGCCAGTGTTCCTCAATCTTTTGAAGTAGTACTCCTCCAATTCAATGGAGCATCAATCATCTGGTCCACAGATGAGCATCAAAAGATTCTCGTACATGTAGATACCACCTGCTACTGCATGTGAGGATCTGTGGATTGGCATGCTAATCCCAATACAGTGATCAAAGAGGATCTCTTTGAATATTTCCTAAAAGCATGCACAGAAAAACATTGTCATCTTAAGAACAAAAAAACTGACTCTCTCTTCTCAAGCACATTGGAAGTGATTGGTCAGAAAACCGTCTTCTCCAAAAAACCCCGCTGTGAATCACAGTTTCTGTCATAGGATATTCAGTCCTGCGAGGACTCTTTTGAAGCATCATCTCTTTCAGGAGCTGGATCTTCATTCCTTCTCCAAGTGTTTCATGCCTCCAAATATGTAACTACTGACCTAAACAATCACCAGCCATTAGTCTTTCAAATCTTATCTGTGTATCTGTATCCTCAACATATTCTCAGCATGAATAATTCACATGATCATTTAATTTCCTACAGTGATAAAGCTACCGTTAGTACTGATCTTATGAAAACAATAGGATTACAAGATTGGAGAGTTCTTCAAGAACATTTGGAAGATTCCAAAACTTCTCCAAGTTCTTTGCCACCCAGTTCTTTGCCACCATTGTGACAGAGCATGTGAACGCACACGTTTGACACACCCCTGAACTTTCATGTGTTACACTCCTTCCACTGACTCATTTCTACCCCGATTCACTTATAAGATTCACAGACTCTAATGTCCACTGAGCCACAGAAACCTGTTTCCTGCCACTTCAAGGTGAGGGTGGGGAAGCATCTCTCTTCTCAGTGCCAGGTGGAGCCATGCCACCTTTCCATGCTGCTGTTTGCCACTGGTCATTCCCATCCATCTTGACCATCCCCCTCTGGTAACCACCTTGGTAAGCCTTCCTTGAGTCTATCAGGGTGATACTGAGGTGGGGTAGAGATAAATAAATCTGTCAGTTTCTTTTCATTCAGCTCCCACATTTGTCTTTGACTTAGGTTCTTGGACAAGTTACTTTTCTTTTAGTCTTACCTGATTGTGTTCTGGGCAATGGGTCTTTTGTGACTTACCATGCACACCATGGCAGCCATTTTGTGAATGGACAAGCCCACATGACAGCCATTTTGAGATATACTCCCAAAGTATTCACTGAAACAAAATGATTGGGGTTGCCTGGGTTGAATGTATCTGTCAGTATCAGTGACTTTCACATTTTTTAAAAAAATCTTTCCAACCACTTTATGGAGAATTTTGCCATTTTTGTTAAGTTTTTATATGCACACACATACATATACTGAACAAAATTGTTACTCTTTTGTGCTGGCCAGGTCTAGTACGTAAAGCTTTTCACAGCATGGAGAGGACCATATTTTTATTTGCAACCCTAATTCAACACCATAAATATAGTTAAATGCACAGATATTCAAGTCCAGACTTTTAAGAGCAAAGCACTCAAAGCCCTTGACCTGGTCTGTCAGTTTTGGTTTCTCCCTTCATTGATTGTTTTTTTTTTTTTTTTTACTTTTTAAATCAAGTTCTTTTTATTCCATTTATGAGGAAATCTGCCATTTTTTAAATCGAAACTCAAACTGAACAAAATGCTCACCTGGTGCGTGCGTGGCTGGCTGGGTGGGTGAAGGGGGGCATCTGAGTGGCACCGACAACATCCAGAAGGCAAGCATTAACATGCCCAAGTTCCCTTCGATCCTGGTGGTGGACCTGCAAGAACAGCATGTTTTATAGAGGCTTCTTCATAAGACTGTTGTGAGCGAACAGACTGAGACTTGACAAGTTCTTTTGCACACTGACATTCAAACCCTAAACAGATTTTCTGGATTTTCAGTGGGCATTACTTCAAAGGAAAGCATGCTTAGCATTGCAGCTTAGAAGTGCGAGAGAAATTGCTGCTGCTAATGATTAGTGTGTATGTAAGAGTACGGAGGGAAAATGCATGCTGAGGGAATGCACGGAGCTTTTAGGCGCATCAGCTGTACTTTGCCAGAGGATTTGCAACTCAGCCATTCGCTGGAGTGCCCTGCCAGCACATATCATACAGGATGAATGGCACTTGCGGCCTTTGGAGGATCAGGCTGCTCAAAGCTAATGAGATCATATTCTTACATCGTCAACTGCGGCCGTCATGATTTTATGAACATAAAGTATGAAGTCTTTTCTGCATCTGGGTTCCCTTTTGATGTGGATCTTGCTGCTGAGGGACTGCTAACTGAACTGAACATTTCAAGGAAGCCAATTTACTCAGCTGGTTGCAAACCCTTTGACCTCAATAGTAGAATTTGGCAATTCAATGAATACACGAAAGTTTAGTGTTCTTTCAAGAATGGCAAAAATGCTCTGTAGCCTATAGATCCTTCTTCAAAATGCTAGTTTGTATTTTAAACATTCATCTTTTTTTAAGGCCAATGCGACTAGTTAATTAAGCCTGAGGGGTTATGAACTGTTGGCAGTTAATAAGTCATAAAATTCCTCCATAAAACAGGATGCTAGATTCCATCACTGAGACAAGGAGTACAAAGAGCCGGTGTATAATATCTAATTGTACAAAAGGACTGGGATTTCTCAATGACTGCTCATCTGGAGTCTCAAGGGCATGCTCACTGTGGTTTCCTGATTTTTAGAAGCCAGTTTAAAAAATGAGTGTATTAAAGAGTAATTTGCCTGAAAGTTCAGGAAGTTTGGGGTGGTGGAGGGTGGGTGGAAAGGGGAGAGAGGGAAGGAAGGAAGGAAAGAAGTTGAGAGAGAGAGAGAGAGAGGGAGAGAGAGGGAGAGGGAGAGACAAAGAGAAGAGGAGAAAGCAAAGGGGGCTTTGCTTTCAGCACACTGGCTTGGACATGATTGCATTTGTCATCTGTTTTCTTTCCCCTTTAGGATGTTCACCATGGCAACGGTACACAGCAGGCTTTTTATGCTGACCCCAGCATCCTGTATGTCTCCCTCCATCGTTATGATGAAGGCAACTTCTTCCCTGGCAGCGGAGCCCCAAATGAGGTTGGGTTTATTTCTTCAGAGCCCCATTTTTATTTGTATCTTTTCAGATAATTGCATTGCATGATTACCCCTAATTTTCTCATCCTCCAATGGTACTTTAAATTGCACTAGATTACCAAATAGTCTACTGGGACCAGGGGACCAGGTTAGAACAAGTGCATAACCCAGAACAGTCCTTGTCAAGCAGGGCTGGGTTGATTTGACATGCCGTTTGATGTTTGTTTCAAAAGGACATTTTCCTATGTTTTCTTATTTTGATTCACTCCCTGCCTTTCCTCTCCACCCTCCCTCTGGCACTTTCCCCCTCTCCCGCTCCTTTTAGGTTGGAAGTGGCCCTGGTGAAGGTTATAATATAAATATTGCTTGGACAGGTGGCCTGGATCCCCCCATGGGAGATGCAGAGTACCTCGCAGCGTACAGGTTGGTTTTTGTTTCCTTCTGAATATGCCAAACAGAAGCAACAGGCTGAAGCCTACAAGAATTAGAACTGCAGCAATCTTGAAAGCTATAAAATGACCCATGGTGGAACATGCTTAAAGTAAAAAGATGTCTTCTTATGTAGTATTTTGAGACTTCAACGATGTTAATAAATAGTCAGTGTTAATATTACTGGCCACCCACAAGGGGGAAAAAACCATGCTCATTAAATGCCTGAAGCAGTGGCAAAGAAGCTTAGATTGTTGAATGCTTTTTCAGACTGTAAACTGCAATAGCATGGGATCCTATGGATGTTTATACGGGATAAATGTCCTACCACTACAGTTTTCCTTACCCATTATGGGGTATAGTGGGTGTTCTAATACTTTATCTGTCTAAAAATTCAAATGGTTGCATTCTGAAAGACTGTTTCAAATCCAGGGAACACAGAGAGTACAATTTATTTGTGCTCCATGGATTCCCATGCAACTTATTTCCACGTCAACTTTATTGTAAACTTCATTCTTACCACCGCTGTCCTTAAACTGATTTTCATGGCACCGTCTTTCACATAATATGTTAAGATCTGAGATGCCTGGTTTGATTTTTTTAAAATGTACAAAGGAGATATTTCTGCTATGTTCAGAAGTTAGCCTCTGCATATAGGGAAGCAAGTAGAAGCAGAGTAACAGCGGGTCTGCCAGTCCTGTCTGTGGCATCATGAACCCCGTGGGGCTCCACAGGCTGAGCCTGTGCATGGACAAATGTACACATGTGGATTCCCCTTTTCAGACAGCCATGCTCAGTATGGCCAGTTTTACATGCTATTGGGGTGGGAGAGAAGGGTGCAGTACTGGCTCCAATGTATAGCCTACTCATGGAAGCTTACTTGAGAAGAGAAGATCCCTCTAATACAGTGGTTTTCAACTGCTGGTCTGCGGACCAGTGCCGGTCTGCAGGAAATTTCCTGCTGGTCTGCAGAAAAAGCCCTGAGAAGGAGCTACAGAGCAGCTTGAGCTCAGTTTTTGCTCTTATTGCTTGTGCAGCGCTGCTGCCATCACCAGGGGAACCCAGCTGATCCTAGCAGAGGTAGGAAAGAGCTCTGATTTCACTCTGGTGTCCAAACACAAAATTTGATCATTGTCACTGGAGATCACTGGAAAAAAGAATATCCGTCTCTAAGTTACGGAACTATTAAATTGTTACTCATATTTTCTACCACATATCTGTGTGAAAAGAGTTCTTCAGCCCTGTCATTGATAAAAACCAAACAGAGAAACAGAATGGATGTCAGTGCAGCACTTCGTCTCTCGGAAACAATACTGCAGCCAAGACTGTCGAGTATTCTTGAAAAGAAGCAACAGTAGCTTTCACATTAGCCTTTTTGAATTAAATATTGCTTTCTAAAACTTTCAGTGGTATTTGATTTCATCCAGTAGTTTATTCTTTTATTAGCATTTTTACTGCTTGGTTTCTAGGTATTTTAGAGAATTGCCAGTTTTTGGTATTTAAAAACTAATACACAAAATACTATATAAATGCTTTTTTACTTTTTCCTCAATGGTCCCTGAATTTTTCTCCCTATTTTTGTTGGTCCCCAGAAGTAAAAAGTTTGAAAACCACTGCTCTAATATACTTCTGACTCAGATACAATTTCTACCAAAATCCACGTATCCAAATAAGTGGGTTTTGGGCCGTAAAACTAAATCCACAATGAGAGTGCAATCCTGTGCAAGTATAGATGGTGGGGGGGGGGGGAGTGGGGCATCCTATAATTCCAGGTTCAAGTTGCGGGATTTTTTGCATCTAAACACACATAAGGAGCGTGACTGCAATTTGCTAATGTTTAAGGTGCTCCTATTGTTACTTTTTGTGCAATAGACTAATATCCTCCCCTCATCCACCTAGTGTAGTCATGTAGTCATGTAGTCATTTATTTATTTATTTATTTTACTTGTCTGGCTTGTGACTTCTAAGGGCTTTTTGGCACAAGCATGGAAAACGTGCTTTGATTTTATGTACTGCATAATAAGCCAGCAAAGGGGTTTCAGTGACCACCAAGCAAATACGCCTTCTACGTGGAATAGATGGGTGGAAATATTGCTGTACTCTGGTCTCCGATAATGTGCTATCCCCATAACAGAAATGCTGCATTAACAAGGAACATGTGTATTCTGGTCATTAAATGAACATATATTGAGCCAGGAGCTAAATGTCTGAAAAGTAGCACTTTTGTCATGTAAAAAATTTTTACCTGGTAAGTCATATGAATTTTAGCCAATTGATACATAAATTAAATGACGATATGTGTGTATCTTGCACACAAAGAAATAGGAAGTCAAAAAACCCTTTCTGTGTTTATGGGTAATTTCCCTTGTTTTAGTGCTCCAGCAGATATCATCCGTGGAAAGGCATTATAGAGGAAAGAGTGAAGGATGCCTATTCTAAAATTGTTCCTCTTACTAACCAATTTTGCAATTTCCCATAATAAACATGATTAGCCTTTAAAAACCCTGGCATCTGATTAATTAGTGACACTTTAGCCAGTTGTAAGGTTTGAAATCAATTTTTTAGGTTGGAGTCAAATTTAGACACATGCAACCATGGAGTCAGAAATTAACTTCCCTACTCCTGTTCTCAGGCAGCCCCTCCAGCCCCTTGAAATTGCTACACAAAGGGTGTGCTGAATGGGGTGAGTTGTGGTGTGAGAGGGAAGGGCGGATACTCCTAGAAGCACCTTCCATAAGGAAAGACCTTTTATCAATAGGAGGCAGATCCTGGATCCAAGTTTGCTTATTGTATTTTACTTATACCCAGCTTTTCAGCCAAGACTGGCTATCTTAGAATTGTGCAGCGTACAACTGAAATCCACAAAATAGTACAGTTCTTTAGTTATAGCTGGAGAGGTTAATGCCATTCACTTTTGGTTCCTAGTATTTGATGACACAGTTCTGCTAAAGCCTTCTTCCTTCCCTCCGGGCAAAAGGAACTGCTATTTGGATTCAGGCGTTGGCTAATGGCAAAGGAGTTCACTCACAAAAGCAGCCTTTTCTTGCTGTCTATTGGCTTCTGGTTCTTGGAAAGTTGTTGCATTAGTCTGATCTGTTTCTCAACTAAATATTGCCGCTCTTATGAAAAGATCCCATAGGTATATAATGCTGTGCTTCCTTCTTTCTGTTGGCCTTGCTCCTGGTGGAAATGAAACCCAAATAATGCCTATTATAGGGTACTAAATCTGGCCTTGCCTTTGTGCCCAGTTTTCTGCTACTGTGGTTGCACAACTCCAGTTCTGACCTAACAATATAGTGAAAGTGCTTAAAGAAGTCACGCATGTCATGGCTGGTCATGGCTTGGTCAAGAATATCAGGATACGTTTGTAAAGGCTGTAGTTCAAAACTTTTCCAACTGACAATGAAACCAATAATTTCTTTCTGGACCACTATCAAAACTTATAATTTCAAATGTTATATCTAGTGCATACCTTTGCTGCACTGCAAATGTACCACAACTTCTATAAAAAGTGCTTCCCACATGGCGCTCACCCCATCAGTCTTGGGTGGTCCATGAACACGGTTTTGAGATGGTTTTGTAATGCAGACATAACACACCTGAAATTGAAGTTTAGTACCAAAAACAGAAATAGCCAAGAATCACAGTTTTGCACTGTTTCTGTGAAATGGGCTTTGATTTTATATGCATCATTTGCTTATCGTGGCAAACACCTAGTCAAATATTCAACTACTTAAAGGTATGTTGTCGAAGCTGGTGAGCCTCAAATGATACCTCGTCTAATGCTTTTATTCATCCTTTGCCAAGATCTTTGCAGAGCCTGCATGCACACAAAAGCATGGGGTTTAGTTGGCCCAAGGGTTTGGTGCTGGAGTTCAGCTTTTCTCACCTCCTAAAGGCTTGGTTCACAGTCAGCCACAGTCAGTGGGTAAGGATGTGATATTAAAAGTGTTCAGTTGAGCTGGACACATCCAGTGTTTCATTCAACCACATTGCTATCAAAATGTTTTATAATATACCCTTTCCCAGCCTGGTGCCCACCAAGAGTGTTGGATTGCAAGTTCCATCATGCCCTGTCAGCATGGCCAACAGCATGTTGGGCATTGCAGTCCAACACATCTGGAAGGCTGGAGGCTGGAGGAAGGTTGGGCTAATGCTATCTAGTCTGAAGAGGCAGGAAACTTAGCACAGGTGTCAGTTAATGATGAGTCTCCAAATTAAGTCATCCATTAAGACAAAATCGAGGAACATTGGGGAAATTTGTTTCAGCTGCCAGTGGTCAGAGAAATGTGGGTGGTAATGGTGGTACACATATTTCATCAAATTTCTCTGGAAGAAGAATAACTCCTGCAACAGTTTCTCAGGGGTAGCATTCACCATTAGCTTTAGCACTGCCCTTTTTGTTTTCCTAAGGGATTGGGTTGTTGACTCGGGCTGCTGCTGTAAGTAGCAGCAGCGACTGTGTTGGCAGCCTGGCTGCCATTCCGCACCTTCACACTTAGCATCATTCTGGGGCACATGGGGGAAATGGTGACAGGAAAAAGTATGGCAAGGCATAATTGGAGAAAGTTCTACAAACTCCCCTTCTTTTTTTGGAGGAAGAAGAGAAAAATAGATCTTAGAAATGTTCTCAGGAAGAATGTATTGTGAAAAATTTTAACTGAACTCTACTCCATCCTGTTTCTGATGCTGAGCAGGTTGACTGTTTATTATCTCTAGAGTATTTGAATTTCCCTTCCTGTCTGTATGTGAACAAAAAATTTGAGCAACTAACTGAGGCTGGCAGCCTGAATTTATTTATTTATTAATTTATGTACTTAATATACTTCTAAACAGCCGAAGCAAGTAGAGTTCTCTGGATAATGCTCAATATAATATAAACATACAGTACAAACTTTAAAACAAACAAAGAATGCACAGAATGAAACCAAGATAAAACTAGGTCCAAAGAAAAACACAATATCGTAAAACCAGGTTAAGACCAACAGCAGAAT